TTACAGAGAGGAAGGGAGAGGGATAGAGAGTTAGAAACATCAATGAGAGAGAAACATCAATCAACTGCCTCTTGCACACCCCCTACTGGAGATGTGCCCGCAACCAAGATACATGCCCTTGACCGGAATCGAACCTGGGACCTTTCAGTCCATAGGCTGATGCTCTATCCACTGAGCCAAACTGGTTAGGGTCAAATCAAGGTATTTTAAGCTATAAATTCTTTAGAGTATTTACTGAACAATCACCTACAATTCATATAATTTTACTTTTATATCCCAAGTGGTAACTTTGAATAAATTCTCCAAAACTGTAATGTAAATCAATACATATCTCTATTTCCTTCTATCATCAAAGCTAAAAGGTGGATATACCATATAGGTATATCAATGGTCTAGTTTTCATTACAACTTGAGAAAAATATTTGAAAAGATTTATATAAGACATTACTGACAAAGCCGCTTTAATTATGTTAATACCAGAGATACAGGATCCCCAACTATACTGATCATGCAGCAACCTAATTTGGGAAACTTCTGACCTAGAACTAGTTCAACACAAGTTTTCAGACAACTTTCTCAAGTGCATTACTTAAATTATAAAACTTCTAAGGATATTGGCCTTGAGAGGCCTATGAAGAAAAGGCTGGGTTCTCTGCTACTTAGTATTCAGTCATGTACAAAAGCCTTATGGTCGACAAATTGAAGATTCTCGAATAGGACATGGCAATAGTAGGTATTCAACATTTCTTTAATAATGAATAAAATTACTAATCACTCTAGAAGAGATGGTCCCACCAAAAGCCACTTTAGAAGTCTTAGAGAAAGAACTTACCTCAGTTTTACCAATAATATAAGGCTAACCAGCAATAAGTTAAATATATCTTATAACAGACAAAAGTACAAGTAATTTGTCAATACGTATTGGCAACATTTTTTTTAAACATTTTGAAGCACTCTTTTACACATTTTGAAGCACTTGTTCCATGAAAACAATCCAAAATATAGGAAAAACTATATGCATATATCAACAAAATTAAAAACACAGAAATTAAATGTCTAACTGAACTACTGCATAAAATACGGCACATATCTTTGATAAAAATAATGCCCATGAAATCCATTACTATGTTTCGAAGACTTTACTGGCTCCATTTTGCCTCCAAGACAAATTAGGCAATTTTCTCTACCTCCTTCAGCCTCATATCTCACCCCCTCCCCTTAATCTACAATAATCTATACTTATAATCTATACTCTAGGTACACTTTACCAGCCCTCTCCACTCCCAATTTCCCTAATTTCTGAATACTCCTAGGTACTCTGATAGCACTTTTCCATCTAAGTCATACTTCACAGTAACTTATAATACTTAATTAATTGTCTTTTTCTCCTACAGAATTAATACCTACTACCTAGCATAGCACCAGATCTTAAGTAGACAAATACATGCAGAAATGAACTAAGTAACATTACAAATGCTTACAATGCTACTGAAAATTAACAGGGGGTTTTGGGGAACTGTATGATCTATTTTCTTTTTCCTTTGAAACATTCTAAGATTGTGTGTGTGTGTGTAAATTTTATAATGCAAAAGAAAATATAGTCATGCACATATATACTAAGTCGCAACGCAGTAATAGCATTGCAGTACTAAAACATGCTTATAAAACAAGTTCCTCAAACTTTTATTTCTTCTACTGCCAAAATGCATAAAACCAAATAAAGACAATATGTGAGAAACCAGTAAGGCAGCTAGTCCTATTACCTGAGTGGAGTTAGATAGTTGGTTTTTCCACGGCTCCTCTGCGCTGCTGGTCAGGTTTGTGCGGTTATGAGGTAGAGTGAGTGCGTTTCGCTGCGGGTAAGGCACGTTTCCATTACTTCCACTTCCTGTTATGTGATTATTGCCTATCAAAAGAGTGTCTGTACTTCCCAGCATTCTTGTGCTACAGGGAGCATGGCCTGCAGAAAAGGGTCCATTGGCCAAAGGCTGCCCCGGGCAGGCAGGGCGGACTCCGGGCTGAGAGGCGCTAGGCACTCTGGTCAGAGCAAGCGGTGGCTGCTGGCCAGAGACTGAGTTTGTAGGCAGTGATGAGTCAGCTGCTGGCCCATTAGGAATTCCAGTAGATCGTACCTGTGCAACTCCTGTTTGTCTCACCTGTCAAAAAAACAAATAAAAAATAAATTCTGCTTGTGCAGCCCCAGGGGAAAGAATCAGAATATGAAGGTGTATAACCAAGTGATCTCTGATTTTACCCTAACACTTAATTTCTCTACATGGAAATATATATACCTTAAAAACAAAAAATTGTGCTTGTTCATATTTAGATTAGCTTTTTCAGAAAAGCAGAAATCAGTTTTATTTTTAATATACATCCCTTTAGTAATGACAAAAGAAAGCAGCTGAATATTATGGAAAATGACTCTGGAATTTGTGTCTTCCCCAATCACAGAATAGAAAATCTCAAAATTTCTTTCTACTACATTTATACGCCAGATCCTTAAAATTAAACACACACTAAAGAACTCCACTTCAGTTTAGAACAGATAGCCTGTTAAATATCAAATAATATAAATAAACCCTTAGAATACATACAAAATAGCATGTAAATAAGTAAAATACTAAGTCCTGTGTTCAAAATTAAATTTACAGCTCTTTTTTCCTAAAAATACCTATGTATTATTAGTATTACTAAATTCTATAAATACTGGGAGAAAGTAGAAGTGGGCATGAACATGCTCTAAAATGATGCTCTGGTCAATAAAAATACTCAAAATGCTACCAAATTTTAGGGGGAAAAATGCTATACACACTTGGTGCTGCTGCATTAAGACAAACTGACTTTCCAGCTGTTCCAGCATCAGTTTCTGAGCTGGATTTAAATTATTTCTATTTGCACGGAGCTGTTCCAAGTGCTAGAAGAAGAAGAAAAGAAGAAAAAGAATATAGTCAAAGATATATCTAAGAAGCTCAAGTTCACTATTTTAAGTAACCTTTCCCTGAAATGACCAGATAAACTCAGACTCGCTTTCTAGTCAGACACTAATTTCTGACCAATAGCTATCAACCCCAAGATGAAGTCTTTTAAGAAGCTTGAGAAAGTTAAGAAAGAAAGAAAGATTCAAACCAAACAAAACAAATGAACCTCACAGATGCAGAGAATACTGGTAGTTACCAGAGGGGAAAGGGTGGGGAGGCAAAATGGGTGAAGAGGATCCATGGTGAAAGATGATAACTAGATGTTTGGTAGTGATCACTTTGTAGTGCATACAGATGTCGAATTACACCATTATTCACCTGAGACATATAATGTTATCTACTAAATTTATCTCAGTTTTAAAAAGTAGTTTAAAAATATAAACATTCATCTGAAGAGGGTTTACTGCAATGTGATCCTTGAGATAAATGAGCACAAAATTTCACTCTCTAACACAGTATTTTTCAGTATTCACACAGAAAGCTCTTTAAGCTTAAAAATGCATTATCACAAGTACACTCAAACAGCACAGTTTGAAATAGGAAGAGTTGGACAACAAATTGTGTAAAACTAGTGATCTACTTAAATAAAAGTGTAACATCTACATAAAGAAATATGCTGTAACTATAAAAAATAAGAAAGCTCTCTCTATACATTGACAAGAAAATGTCTGTAAAAGAGATAATTAACGATATATATAGCATTCTATCATTTGTACAAAAAAGGAAAAAGATAATATATGAGAAGGGTGCATACATATTTTCTTGTGTATGCACGACATATCTCTGGAAAGATAACTATTCATTCTGGCTGTCTGCTAGGAGTGGAACTGAATGATTAAGGCCAGGAGTTTGAAAGAGAATTTACTCTATATACTGTATATTCATATTAATAGTTTGAACCATTTGAATATATTATCAGTTTAAAAGTAAATGTTGCCTGGCCGGAGTAGCTCAGTGGTTGAGCATCGACCTATGAACCAGGAGGTCACGGTTCGATTCCCAGCCAGGGCACATGCCTGGGTTGTGGGCTCGATCCCCAGTGTGGGGTGTGCAGGAGGCAGCTGATCCATGATTCTCTCTCATCATTGATGTTTCTCTCTCTCTTTCCCTCTCCTTTCCTCTCTGAAATCAATAAAGTAAATGTAAACAAGAATGAATTATCTGTTAGTCTGGTAAATATGATTTCATTTTATTTATGTGCATGTTGAGTTTACTGCTATTCAACTTTAAGAATACTTTAAAAACTTAAAGCTTACTATCTTTACTCTTTTTTAATAGAAAAACAATATGTCAAAAACATGTCTTACATACCTGTAATTTCTGTGGTGGCAAACACCATGAATGACTTGGTTGCTGTACTGGAGGATGTGACACTGCATGGCCACTACTCCAATTATCAGAAGTATTCTGGGAAAAATTGATAAAAAGAAACTTAAAAATATTTGGTGAAATCTAGACTTAAAAATAATGATTAATGGAGGCCAAATGACTATGATTGGAATATTTACATATAAAAGATGTTATGACATTAACTTTTAAACATAGCTTTACATGCATAATAAATTTGGAAAATCACAAATTTAAAAAATATTGATTTTTTAATAAGCCACCCAAAAAGGCCCACCCCTAAACTATGTCCCAAATGGCTAACCTAAATATCACACTGTCTACTAGGTCCAACATTAAATTTATTTCAATGTCAGTAGAAAGTGATAATGAAAAGTGTGTTGCAATCTTAACGGCAGGGAGATGAATAAAATGACTTGATGAAGGCAAAGTTATCCCTACGTTCTGTATTTCATATGATACTAAGAATTTGGGATGGAAAAACTCAAAACCTTTCACTCTTTGATGTCCACAGATTTAAAATAAAGGACAGGAGATGTTCAAACTGCACAAGTTCGGGGCAGTTGGGAATTTCTTTTTTGACAGGATTTTCTATTTCTCTAAGATATATACCTTGGTTGGACTAGATGTTCTTTTCCTCTTGGCAGGACTGGACAGGCCATCTACTTGGCTAGAAGGAATCGTGTGTAGTGGCAAGGATTGCTGTGAAATTGGTGTTTGACTGAGGCCTAATACAGGTTCAGTATTTGGATGATGAGGTTTACATGCCTAAGAATCACAGAAGGAAGACAAAAATAGGGTTCTATATACTCTTAATTCATTCCTTCAAATTATCAAACTTTACAAGCTGCATACTTTTCAAAGCTATGTGGACATCGCTGATTGCAATTATTGAAAATCAAAATCAAATGAATCATCAATGGAGGAATGTGTACCTTCCTTTGAAAAACTTGCATGAAAAATTAAACTGCAGTATTATTTTAAGAAATCTCCTTCAAAGTCATGAAAATGCGCAAAGGTTCTAAATTGGCACCCAAAATTTCTTCCCATGTCAGAGGGAGTTTTACTTTGATCTAGAGTCCCTTCACAATTAAAAGGCTTTTCATTAATAAAAGCCTCCTGTGCTCAGTAAAATATACTTGACCACTATAGATTGAAAAGAACCCTTAAAGCTGGGCACCTGCAGAACATAACCCAACTTCTCACCTGCTGTGCTGTGTTCATGGCACCCTGCCTGGAGGTAAGCTCTGCGGGGATTGGTAGGCTCCACGCCTCCTCAATACTAGGAAGTAATTTAGTTTTATTCTGTAGACTACCTTGTGGAAGGTTACACAACTGAGCCTAGGAAAAATTATGTAAAAAGCAAATTTAACACAAGCCTACTTGAGTAAGAGCAAGTCCACTAAATTTTCCTAAATGCTATAACTAACTGTTTTTTAAAAAAGAAAATAGATTCTTAATTTGGGGTTTCAGAAAGATACTAAGTATAAAGAGGGTAACCGAAATATAAACCTTTGTGAGAATTAAAACAAAGCTGAGCTCTGTTTTTAGAGTTCTCATAGCTGTCTTCTCATGAAACTCCAAGCAAGAGTGAAAGACAGTGTTCGTGTTCTTTTCTCTAAAATGCTATGACAACTTAAAAATGTAGACAGCACATAGAAAAAATTATGTAAATTAATATGCATCAAAAGAGTATATGTGCAAAAGAGCATTTTTTAAAATACTGCATATCTTATTTAAAATGAAAAGTAAAATAATATTATAAGCTATGGTATGTTTACAAAATATGGAAACAAATTATAGACATCAACACAACTAGACAAACTTTCCAGCCACCCTCCTCCTGCCTTAGTGTCATGGGGAAACGTGCCTTTAAAAAAAACTGCTACTAAAAATTTTACCTGTAAATACTTAATTCGTGCTGCAAGTGCAGAGGTATTACTACAACTTTTGCTTCTGGTTGCATTTAAGTAGCATTTAATGGCATCCTGAGGCTGGTTGCAGGATTCATAGAGTGTGCCTAGGTCCATCCAGGCTGCAGCATGGCCATGGTCCAATTGTACAGCACAAATATAGGCCTGTAAAGCATCCATAGGCTGATTTTGTTGCTGATATAGCACACTAGAAAGAGAAATTAAGAAAAAACAAGTCAACAAAAAAGAACTGCTTAGCTTCATAACATGATATAAACTGCAAAGTATATTATATGGGATGCACCTATCTTTGTGTATCAATTACAATGCCATTATCTTTATGCAATGTCTTACCCTATTGAACACCATGTATCTGCACTTGCTTCTGATTTATCAATAGACTGCCTGTAAGATATAAAGGCATCCTGAACTTTCCCAATACTTGAATAGCACCTGAGAGGAAAGGGGGGAAAAGTAAAAAAATTTCCATTATTACAGACTAATTTGCTGAAAGGATGGACTATATGTCAAAGCAAATGAAAAACCTAATAAGCTAAAATATTTATGTCATTATGTATACGATAATTATAATGCATACTATAATTAACCCTTCAATAAACGATATTATAGTCTATCATAGATGCTAAAGCAGGGGTGGGCAAACTTTTTGACTCGAGGGCCACAATGGGTTCTTAAACTGGACCGTAGGGCCGGAACAAAAGCATGGATGGAGTGTTTGTGTGAACTAATATAAATTCAAAGTAAACATCATTACATAAAAGGGTACGGTCTTTTTTTTTTTTTTTTTAGTTTTATTCATTTCAAAGGGCCGGATCCGGCCCGCGGGCCGTAGTTTGCCCACGGCTGTGCTAAAGCATGCTGCAGTAATGAACAGTATTGAAAGAATTAAAGGCCTTATCACTTCAATATTTACAATACTGAGAGTTGAAAACACACACACACCCCACTCTACTTATAAAACTTTATCTCCAGTTTTCTATTCAGTAAGAACATAGAGTTAAAAAACAAGAAAAACATTCTCTGTTGGTAAGAATTGCTGATTCAGATTGCAATTCCACTTTCCTAAATAATGAGGGCAATAATTCTTTAGTTCATAAAAAATACAAACATAGTATCAAGCTATCAAAAACAGTAAGAGTAGCAAAGTATGATTAAAGTTTCAAAGACCTGTCATTTTTAATTTTATTTTTATTGATTTCAGAGAGGAAGGGAGAGGGAAAGATAGAAACATCAATGATGAGAGAGAATCATTGATCAGCTGCCTCCTGCACAACCCCCACTGGGGATCGAGCCCACAAACCAGGCATGTTCACTGACTGGAATCAAACCTGGGACCCTTCAGTCCACAGGCCAACACTCTATCCACTGAGCCAAACCCAGCTAAGGCAAGACCTGTCATTTTTAATGCATATATACTTGATGGATACACAGAACAGCAGCTGACGTCCTATCTAATAAAAGAGCAATATGCAAATTGACCGTCACTCCAACACACAAGATGGCCACCACAAGATGGCCTGCAGGGGAGGGCAGTTGGGGGGGGGGGGCAGGCCAGCAGAGGAGGGCAGTTAGGGGCAATTGGGCCAGCAGTGGAGCAGTTAGGCGTCGATCAGGAAGTAGGGGCAATCAGGCCAGCAGAGGGGCAGTTAGGTGTCGATCAGGCTGGCAGGAGAGTGGTTAGGGGGTGATCGGGCTGGCAGGCAGAAGCAGTTAGGGGCAATCAGGCAGGCAGGCAGGCAGGTGAGTGGTTGGGAGCCAGCAGTCCTGGATTGTGAGAGGGATGTCCCACCGGGATCGGGCCTAAACGGGCAGTCGGTCCCAGATTGGAGAGGGTGCAGGCTGGGCTGAAGGAAACACACCCCCCCCCGCCCCCGCATGAATTTCATGCACCGGGCCTCTAGTTATAAATAAAGAAGTTATCTTCGTAGTGTTTGGCACTAAGAAAAAACACAAGAATAAACCCAGTCATTGTCTTCAAGGAGCTTATAATTTAGTTGAGAATTAAAGACACAGTATAAATGCCACAATGCCATATTAAATAGCTAGCACAGTTAATAACCAGTTTGAGAAATTTAGGGTAGAAGATACCACAGTATACACTAAAGGATTTGGAAAGGCAAGAAAAGAAAAGGTCAGAGCAAGGGATCTGAACATGTGTACATGCATTATTGTTTAGATCAGTGATTTCCAATTACCAGCCAGTATATGGCAATTTAACAAGCAAACAAAATGGAAAAACAACATATACATGTATATATGTTTTCCATTAAATTGACTCATATTTGTACTATAATTGACCCACCTTGAAATACTATTGGCTGAATAGCAAAATTTTTTTAAATGTGTTTACTTGCCCAAATATCATGTTTTTTAATTGAAATTTTTTTGGTGACATCGATATATATAAAAGGCTAAGTGTCCGTCCGACTGGTAGCTATTACTTGCACTGACCACCAGGGGGCAGAAGCTCAACGCAGGAGCTGCCATGACGTGCACTGGCAGTTTAAAAAGAAACAGCACCATGGACCTGGCGCCAACAAACCAACACTTGGCTTCCCCCAAGTGGGACACAGGCCCCGCCAAAATTGCAGCCAATCCTGCCAAGACCCCATGGTGAAAAATGCAGCCCACAGCCCAGCCCAGTCCGGAAACAGTGGCTGTGGGTGCTGGGTAATAACATCACATAGCAACGCCCAGCTTCCTCTCCCTAGCAACTAGCCTCCTTGGAGTTTCTTCAGCCCAGGAACCCAACTTGCTTTATATAGCAAGGTGCAAACATTTTACAGTTTAACCAAATGTTTGTGAAGCATTTTCCCGTGCCTCATCGCATTTGATCCTCACAGAAATCCTGGAGTAGACAGATAGGAGACTTGGTAGAATTCTATTTTCTTTTCATTAGCAAGACGCAAAGAGTGATATTAAAGTATTTCTTCTAATTAATTTCCTTTCAATGTGCATGAATCTGTGCACTGGGCCACTATTACATTAATAAAATTATACAGGTTTCAGGTGTACAATTCTATAATACATCATTGGCTTATTGTATTGTGTGTTCATCACCCTAAGTTCAGTCTCCCTCTATCACATTTTAATCCTCATATTCTTCGAAATTTTACTGATGAATAGAATCCAAAAGTGTGAGAACCTCTGATTCAGGCAGAGAAGATGAGAGACGGTATTTAAAAATTTAGTTTGAATAGTACAAAGACTTTGTAATACATTGAGTAGATATTCATGGAGGGTGGTAGTAGGTTATAACTTCATTTTGGTTTTTTGTGGTTTTTTTTTTTTTTTTCGTTTTTTAAGCATATTTTTATTGATTTCAGAGTGGAAGGGAGAGAGGAAGAAATAGAAACATCATTGATGAGAGGGAGTCATTGATTGGCTGCCTTCCTCACACCCCCTACTGGAGATCAAGCTTGCAACTCCAGTATGTGCCCTGACTAGGATTGAACTGTGACCTCCTGGTTCGTATGTCGATGCTGAACCACTGAGCCACGTCAGCCGGGCTGTAACTTCGTTTTTAAGCCTGATTAAACGGAGGAGGGAAAGCTAAGTATCATTGGCAAAAATATAAGGAGAAGCAGGTTTGGAGAAGAATATGATGAATGAGATTTGAAGTTTGCTGATTTTGATATGAGGTGAGGACATTAAAATGTGTTAAGTATAGGAGATGTGGTCCTAGAGTTTAATACCTTGGAGTGGAAGAGAGGGTAGAAGAACACAGAACATCTATTAAGGGAGAGGTAAAAATAAGCCTAAGGAATCACTAATATTGTGGACTGGGCAATATAAGAAATGTCAATGAGTGAGACAAAGAAGTATCAGACAGTTTCTGCAAACTGTTTTACAAGAGGAGGATTACAGTAGAAGAGGTCCTTAATGCAAAACAGGGAGAGATACACTAAGAAAGGGAATGTTTAACAGATAGTAGAAAAACATGCGCTGTTTGTTGTTGTTAAATCAAAGCCAAATCTCAGGTTTATAGATAAATTTGTCTAACCATTGGGAGGAATAAGCAGTAATTCCCAAAACCAATGTTTTCACATTCTATTCCCACAAAGTGAAAGTAGAAAACCAATGTGCCCAAACAGATGTTGCAGTCCAATTGCCAGTTTTATTAGTTTTCTCTGAAACTTAACTAGGTTCCCCTGAGACAGGTTTGTGTAATTAAAAAAGCACTTGGTGAACCCAGGACCTAGTCTAAGCTCTGATTAGTTAGTTACCTTGTGTAACTGTGACTTTGGAAAAAAATTTTATTCCTCTGAACTCACTTTCTATTTCTACACCTGTAAACTGATATGGTCCCTCCCAGCTCTAACACTCTATAGATAACATAGTCAATGACTGGTACTAGTATAACAGCATTACCACATTATACTTTCATTATGATATACACATGCCAAATGACGAACAAATTCAATCTTCAACACTGACTTGAATGCAGAAGTAATAAAAAGCCTCAGAAATATTAGGGTCATCAAATCCCAAACTTGCTTACTTATATTTGAGGTCTTCCTTCAGAGCTTTAATAACTTCTAAAATATAATTTATTTGGGTAAAAAAGGTGAAGGGATTGAGAACTACAAATTGGTAGTCACAAAATAATCCTAAGGATATATAGTATAGGGAATATAGTTGATAATATTTTAATAACTATGTACAGTACCAGGTGGGTAGTCAAAATATCAGGGTATCACTTTGTAAAGTATATGATTATCAAACCACTAAGCTGCACATCTAAAACTAACATAAAATAAAATATAATTTATAAAAATTTATCACAATAAAACACATTCTAAGCAACACATTAACCTGTATGATTTTATTAACCAATGTCACCCCAATAAATTCAATTAAAAAATAAAACAAAATAGAATGATTTCAAAAGAAATCATAAAACTGAAACCTTCAGAGTGGGAAGGTACCTAATAGATAATCTAACTCTGGGCTTATCAACCTCAGCATTGACATTTGGGGCCAGTTAATCTTTTGTTGTACAGGGCTGTCTCACGAGATGCCAGTAGCATTTCCCATAGAGGTGATGACCAAAACGTTTCCAGACATAATGAAATGTCCCCTATGGGGCAAAATAGCCCCTACTGATAACCACTGACCTAATATAATCTGATTTAAAAGGTTAAAGGGAAGTTAAAGCCTCATGGGGTTAACTATACCATCCATGATTCCACAAATAGTAGCCTAGCCAAGACTTGAATTCATGTCTCTCAGCTCCTAGTACACTGATCTTCCCACCATGCCCTAAAAGCTAAAACCATTTAAGAACCAAATACAATCTAATAATGATCCAAAATATAATCTATCAGATAAACATACATAAGGTGTATTTCGGAGAATCACTACACACAATTTATGTACAGAGAAAAGTTTACAGGCTCTCAGAAAACTGTTTTCATGACATGACGCTTCTCCTTTCCAACAAATCCAATAATGTATCTACTTTCTCACTGCAAGATTTCAAGTAGAATTGTGATGAGATCTATTAATCAAACATGTCCATTCTAAGGTATACATCATTAATCAAAATTATAAATAGCAAGGTTCTATTGCCTACTGGTAGTCAACAGGCAGAATGAGAAATTCTCTGTTCTGTTAAATTGACACATAGAGAAAACCACCATATTCAGAAGCTTTTTTTTTTAACTTCCAGAAATCTTAGTTTATATTTGCAACCTGATTATTGTATTTTCCCTTTTAAATATAACAAACAGTTTGGATCATAATTCAAATCTCTCAGCTGAAATAAACAAAAACAAAACTTAAGTGTCTGATAAGTCTCACCTTCCGAGGAAATACCAGGACTGGCCAGAATTAGGATCTGCTTCCAAGGACTTTTGGAGATACTGAATAGCACAGTTTTCCTTGGCAGCTTTATCTCCCAGGAGATCTATAGTGTGATGCATCCAACCTATAGTAAATGAATTAAAATATTTACCTGAATGATTTAACTGTTCTTCTATTGCTAAGAATACCACACAGAAAGCAAACAAAAATATTCTTTTCAGTTAATTAATTCATTTAGTTTGGGATACACACTCCAAAAATTCTGAACTACCAATTCTGGCCACATGAAAGCCTATTTCTCTCAGGAAGGTACAGTCAAAGCTATGAAGAACATTTATTCCAGAGAAATTTAAACAATTTTAAGCACTGACTTGACACAAACTATAGCTCCTAATTTTGGTATCTGAAAAAATTCCAAATTATAAACCAAAAAATACAAAGATGTTAAATTTAACTCACTATTACACATAAAAATTTATGTTCATTGAATCTCCAAAACAGTGTATTAACCCAACATTTATTTCCAAGAAATAAATATATGGCTATACAATCAATGACAGTCCAGAGTAAAACACACACACGCTACATTATTGGTGTCGGCCAAATATATACACAACTTACATAAAGTAAAAACTATAAAGTATTTGACAATTTAAAATAACCCAAGGTGCCCTAGCCAGTTTGGCTCAGTAGCTAGAGCGCTGGCCAGTGGACTGAAGGATCCCGGGCTCAGTTCTGATCAAAGGGCACGCACCTTGGTTGCAGGCTGGATCCCTGGCCTTAGGTGGGGCTTGTGTGGGAGGCAACCAATCGATGTGTCTCTTTCACATCATTATTTCTCTCTCAGTCTCCCTCCTCCCTTCCACTCTCTCTAGAAATCAATGGAAAAATATCCTCAGGTGAGGATTAACAAAACAAATAAAATAACCCAAAACTATAAGTATATCCAAGTGGTGCAAATAAGAATGGTACAAATGGGTACCACAAACATTTAATAAACAAATTTAGGTAGTGCATAATCTCACTTATATGTGAAATCTAATGAACAAAATAAACTGATGAACAGAATAGGTCCAGAGGCATGGATGCATGAAACAGAATAACAGATCTCGGGGCGGGGGATTAACCAAAGAACATATACATATATATATAGCCCATGGACAAAGACAATAGTGCAGGGAAGGCCTGGAGTGGGGCAGGGGCTGGCTGGAGGAGGGCAAAGGGGGAGGAAATGGGGGACACCTGTAATAGTGTCAACAATAAAAATACATACATTATAAACATGTTGTATAACTTAAAAAATATAATTTTTATTATTTATAAATAAATAAAAGACTGCATCATAGAGTAGTATACTCTAAACCATGAAAGACACACAGAAATAATTCGGTTTAATTTGTTGGGGAATTCTATTTCAGTTGTGGATCAATCCAAGTGCATAATACCAACTCTGTTCTTTGTGTGTAGACTACAGTATGTATAACAAATACGGACACTTATTTTCTGACATTTATTATAGTTGCTGTGCTGCAAAAGATATTTTAAGAGGATTGAGTCACTGTGTTTTATGGAAATATAAGCCAATCACATGATTAGTCATTCGTTCCTCCCTTATCTCTCCTGCAACTATTAAGAACAGGACTTAGAATAATAGGCTCTAAAAGGAGCTGCTTAAGCAGCAGGAACAAGTAAGTAGAAAGGATTAATGTTTAGGCATAAATTAGACTCAATTAAGGGAAATATTTTTCCTTTTAAAACCTTGAAAAGGTTACTTATAAGCCAGTGCCAAAGAGGATAGGTCAGTGGTCGGCAAACTCATTAGTCAACAGAGCCAAATATCAACAGTACAACGACTGGAATTTCTTTTGAGAGCCACATTTTTTAAACTTAAACTATATAGGTAGGTACACTGGTATTAACTTAATTAGGGTACTCCTAAGCTGGCCTTTGCTAAAAACGTCCTCAATCTGAGGGGTCGACCTCAGCGAACGTACCCCCACTTCTTCTAACGCCACTTCTTCAAAATAGACTCGCCCAGGCCGAAAACCGACTTCTGTGCATGGGCCACGAAGTTTCAATAGCACTGTACGTGCGCGCCCGCATGTGGTATTTTGTGGAAGAGCCACACTCAAGGGGCCAGAGAGCCGCATGTGGCTCGCGAGCTGCGGTTTGCCGACCACTGGGATAGGTGATTCAGATATAACTAAAACCAAAATTGTTTCAATGCATTTCTTAAATTAAAAAGGTGTATGCATTTATGCTATTGATGCCTTCTTTACAACAGCTAAAATACATAAAAACTTAATTATAAATAGTGTAGATAAAAAAGCAGTTCATATGCCGAAGGAATTTCTTCTCTGATAATGCTCCTAGGGCAATGGAAACTAAAGAGAAAATAAACAAATGGGACTACATCAAAATAAAAAGCTTTTGCACAGCAAAGGAAACCATCAACAAAACAACAAGAAGACCCACTACATGGGAGAACATATTTGCCAATGATACCACCGATAAGGGTTTAATTTCCAACATTTACAGGGATCTCATGAAACTTAACAAAAGGAAGATAAACAATCCAATAAAAAAATGGGCAACGGACCTAGATAGACACTTTTCGAAAGAGGACATACAGAAGGCCAAAAGACATATGAAAACATGTTCAAAGTCACTAATTATACGAGAGATGCAAATCAAAACGACAATGCGTTATCATCAACCACCTGTCAGAATGGCTATCATCAACAAATCAACAAACAACAAGTGCTGGAGAGGATGTGGAGAAAAAGGAACCCTTGTGCACTGCTGGTGGGAATGCAGACTGGTGCAGCCACTGTGGAGAACAGTATGGAGCTACCTCAAAAAACTAAAAATGAAACTCCCATTTGACCCAGTGATCCCACTACTAGGAATATATCCCAAGAAACCAGAAACGCCAATCAGAAAGGATATATGCACCCCTATGTTCATAGCAGCACAATTCACCATAGCTAAGATTTGGAAACAGCCTAAGTGCCCATCAGCAGATGAGTGGATTAGAAAACTGTGGTACATATGCACAATGGAAAAAAAGGAACTCTTGCCTTTTGCAACAGCATGGATGGAACTGGAGAGCATTATGCTAAGTGAAATAAGCCAGTCAGAGAAAGATAAATACCACATGATCTCACTCATTTGTGGATTATAGAGAACAACATAGACTGATGAACAGGGACAGACCCAAAGGCTGAGAAACAGCGATCAGGCTATCCCCAGAAGGAAAGTAGGGGAGGGCGGGGGTAAGGGGAAGAGATCAACCGAAGGACTTGTATACATGTATATAAGCCAAACCAATGGACATGGACAACAGGGGGATGGGAGCATGAGTTTGCGGGGGGGGGGGGGGGGGGGGGGGGGGGGGGCGGCGCTGGGGGTTAATGGGGGGGGATGAGGACACATTTGTAATACCTTAACTAATAATAATAATAATAATAATAATTTTAAAAAAGCAGTTCAAATTAAAATTTTAGCTGAATGAGTAAACTGTCTATTCAAAAGGCATCACTTTGTACTTAAGAACACAAAACCCTTTACTGTACCAATAAACTTGTTTATGTTTAAAGATAAAAATTCACACTACTCAAATACTACATATAAATCATTAAAAATAAATATTTAAATACTTCTACAATTTTTAAGACTATGAATAACTCAAGTAAAATTCTAACTAGAGATTAAATGAAAAACAAAACTTTTATATGAAGGCAATGTATTTATTTTGTATAATAATCGTACAATATAAGTGATAAAATTAAACAAATTTAAAATTACATGTCACATTATGAAGACATTCATATTACTATCTTGAATATAAATTAAGAATAAATTATTTGTCCAGACCAAAAACAAGCAAACAAAAGCTTAAAAATTAAAACAACCCAAATACCAAATACAGACAAAAAACATAATGACCAAGCAACAAAATTAAATGCTGGAGAACTCCATCACCACCTTCTTGGTAACAGTGACACATTACATCCAAATGGATACATTCCTTCATCTCTGACATTAGAATATACTGCATGTGTACAAAAACTATATGTAGTGTTAGATATTCCACAATTTTTAGATAAAAAGTTTTCGTTAATATTACCGACAGAACTACGAAAGCAAGCTCACCAAAACAGTGACTGTAAGCAAATCATTTCATTTCAATGAGTGCGAATCACATCTGAGATAAAGTTTTCAATGCCCCTCGCCCATGGATTAAGTACTAGAAAGTAAGTTTGAGAATTTAAAAGGAATAGCTGCACTAATGAATTGTAATGAGATGAACTGTGAAACGGACTATGCTTGGCAAAGAGTGAAAATATGTTGGATTCAGCCCAGCCGGTGTGGCTCAGTGGTTGAGCATCAACCCATGAACCAGGTCACGGTTCAATTCCCAGTCAGGGCATATGCCTGGGCTATGGACTTGATCTTCAGTGTGGGGCATGCAGGAGGCAGCCAATCAATGATTCTCTCTCATCACTGATGTTTCTATCTCTCCCTCTCCCTCCCCCTCTGAATATTAATAAGTAAATATTTTAGGAAGGAAGGAGGGAGGGAGGGAGGGAGGGAAATATGCTGGGTTCAAATTAATTCTATCAACTCTGAGCAAAGGATGGGAAAGAAATAAAATACACGAGCCACATATTTACCATCCCTGACATGTAAAAAACATAAAGAGAAGTACTTATAATATACTAAATGTATACTAATACATACCTAACTGTTGCAAGACAGTTGCTTTTACTTGTGCAGAAAGGTTTTCTGTCTGCAAAAGTTGTTCATAAGCTTCCTTTGCAGAATGATACTTCCTCTAAAGGCAGAAAAAATGATTTAAAGAAAAATAAATATCTTTCAAGAACCAGTTCATATATTAAGATTTATACAATACTGGTATTTTATACATATTTTTATACAATACTGGTATTTTATACATATTTTTAAACCAACTGAAAGAAAAAGAACTAATTCCATTACTAAATGTTACTTCAACACTAGACAATTGTGGTTCATGCTTCAGAGAACCTAAAACAAGTAAAACATTTAATAAAGTAGCACTAATATATGACTGTTTAAGAATTTCCCAAATCTCAATACTTAAAAAAAGAAAACCATCTCAACCTATTTAATAACATACATGATTTCAACTTTGTTTGCCTAGAAATACCAAGTTCCCAAGCAACTTAATATGAACAATAGAACACATGACAAAATGCTTTGCACATGACAAAATGCTTTACAAATTCTAAGGGTAAAAGCAGTTAAAAACTAAGTTCAAAAGATAGTCACCAGCATATATATATATTTAAAAAAAACTATAAAAATGTATAATACATATGATATTAAAGACACCAAATTTCCCATAGTTACAGTTTGTAATATTTAAGGTTCCATAGGCAAATTTCTAAATGAAACCATTTACCCACAGTTTTCTCCCCAAAGTACTGGTATGACTAAAACCCATCACTGCTAGTCATAAAGCTTAAGGTAACTCCTCAAAAAAGGGGAAATGAAAAGCCAATAAAGAAAACCTCATAAATATTACCTTTAAAACATACTTGACAAAAAAAATATTGGAATGAAGTGGCATTTTCATACCACTAATAGTACACAGTTGCTTGAGCAAACAAATCTTTCTCCAGAAAAGTATGATCAAATAGAAAACTAGCTGTGTGAGCCTCAGGCAAATCACTTAAACTATAATTCAACATCCAAAGAACAGAGGTAATGCCTGATCTTTCTATCTGGAGTTGTTCTAACGATCAAATGAGATAAGTAAAAAGCTACAGAAACAAATAAGGAACTATATAAATACAGTATGTCAACATGCAGAAGATTTGAAAGAACTGTCTATTATTACAGCTAAATTAGTTCCCCCTAAACATTAATCTGGTCTGAAAGAGTTAATTAGACAGTTAATGAAGGACAAAGACCAAATTATTCAACCAACTTCCTTCCACTGATAAATATTTACTGAACACCTAGTACATAACAGGAACTGCTGGGACTATAGTGTAGTGAAGAATACAGAGAGAAAAGCGAGTAAAACATGCTGTATTATGTACAATAACAGTATGGTATCTCCCAGAGGAAGAAAGTTAAGATTATTTGTTTATTTTTAATCCTTGCCCAAAGATATGTTTTTATTTATTTTTAGAGAGTGAGGAAGGGAGAGAGAAACATCAATCGGTTTCCTCCCCTACGTACCCTAACCGGGGGATCAAACCCACAACTTAGGTATGTGCCCTGACTGAGAATCAAACCCACAACCGTTTTGGTTTATGGGACGACCTTCCAATCAATTGAGCCACCCGGCCAGGACAAAACACATGTTAAGTTTAGAGTACTAGCAGGGTGGGCAACAAATGCAGAGACAAGCAAATATGACTTCACAGAGAACTTCCTAAACCATGTTAAAGACTATATAGACTGTATCTTGGGACAATGGAGTACCACTGAAATGAATTCAAACAATATGATCAGATTTATATTTTAGGAAGACTACTTTTTGGAATTACCTTAATAAATGACAAAACATACCTTCAAAAACTAAGAAAAAAATACTTGAAAAACTGGTAGAATATTGAGAAACATGAAATTGGATTTCTATCTTATACCACATACAAAAAACTGGTAACTGCATTAAGGACCTAAATATGAAAGGTAAAAGAATAAAACTAAGAGATGAAAATGTCAGAGAATATTTCCTTGAAATGAGAAAGAACTTATTTGACATGACCAAAACAGCACAAATCACAAGGAAGACTAAAGTTCTACTTGAAACACATAAGCAGAAAAATAGTCAATGGACATAAAAACACATAAAAGCTGAAAAAGATGTGAAGAAGTGTACATCTCTAGAAAACAGAAAGTGCAAGTTTAAACAAGAGACTACCTTCTACCCATCAGACTGACAAACATAAGAAAGTTGGGTTAATTTCAAGTACTGTGGGAATGTCAGTAAAAACAGAACAAAAAACTCCCTCTAATGACCTCCAGGAAGAGGACTTACTCATGAAATTATGTCTGAAAATATGCTATAGTCAATCTCACTCTTGGGATACATATGCCAAAGAAACCTTCCCATAAATAATGTCCTAAATGGCACTGTTTATAGTATCAGGGAGTTGGACAACCTGAAAATGAACATTCTGCCCTGCAGAGTTCCTCAGTGGTTAGAGCACCTGCCCTCAGACCCTGTAGGAGGCAACCAATTGATTTGTCTCTCTCACATCGATGTTTCTCTCTCTGTCTCTCCCTCTCCCTCCCACTCTCTCTAAAAACCAATGAAAAAAATATTCTTAGGTGAGAATAAAAATAAAAAAGAAAAAAAGAAAGAAAATGAACATCCTTATTATAAACACCAAGTAGAGATTTTTCAAATGAAAGAATCAATTGGGGTGTTGCTCCCATATTACCTTCACAAAATTAACACCAACAGACAACTTCTCATCAGAAACAATGAAAGCCAAAAGACAATGAAATGTAAATTTCAAAGTTGTTAAATAAAACCGAATTCTACTTCTAGCAAAAACACTCATTAAAAAGAAATGTGAAACCTAGCTGGTTTGGCTCAGTGGATAGAGCATCGCCTGTGGACTGAAGGATCCCGGTTGGATTCCGGTCAAGGGCCAGCAGGGGGCATGCAGGAGGCAGCCAATCAATGATCTCTCTCATCATTGATGTTTCTATCTCTCCCTCTCCCTTCCTCTCTAAAATCAATAAAAATATATTTTTTAAAAAGTTAAAAAAAAATAAAGGTGAGAAAATTCTGCTTCAGCTAGTGACAGACCAGTGATCTCACTAAGAACTAAAAAAGCTGGGGGGGGGGGGGGGGGCGGGGATCAGAATTCATCCTTTTAAAGACAGCAGAGAGCTCCTGAGGTAATGAGAACAGAAGGAGCTAAGAACCCAGGGAGGGAACTTTGGAGAAGAAGCTGATTTCTATAGCTGCTTTCACCCTGGGGTGTTTGCTGATTCAGCAGAAATCAGCAGCTGGCAGGAGGCTGGGATTAGCATTGGCAGGTAAAGACACCGATCCACAACATGTGTGTAATTTTCACAGGCATCTTCTCGAGGAAAATAACATCCCTAGAGCAGTAGGGTGGGTGGGTGTGTTGGTGTATGTGTTGGTGCAGATGGAGGTGTCCAGAAATCTGATGTTAATTTTTTAAAGCACCCCATGGTAGCTCTGAAACAAAACAGACCTTACACATCATGTACAAATATCTAGTATTTTTCTCCATGAAAAGATGTTATAAAATTTATGTTTTGGGTAGACTATGATCACCTAATACTTCTCATACCAACTTATACCTGATTTCCCATACCACTGCCTAGAGTAAATGTCTGTATTATACCTTTTATTATACAACTAAGCACAATCTGCCATACATAAAAACAATGCTCTAAAATTAAACTGAAAAAGTATTTTAAATATAGCACCATAAAAGCAGTGATAATGACATCAAAAGGTGACTCTAGTATGCCTTTCAAATGGTGACACATAGAAGAAATATTTCAATCTTAAGAAACTAAAAACAATGCATTATAACAACCATCTATAAACATTTTGATAAGAAAACTAGCCATTTCATATCAAGAATAAGAGAAATCTTCTTATATATAGCCATTTAAGCCTAGAGGTAAATCATATTAAATGAAATTAGTTTGTACAGAGCAAGTACTCTGTGTAATAGCTGTTTCACTAAACAAAATCTTGATCATGTTTAATAATTTTAAAATGTATGTAAGTGGTAATACCCAGAATTCCATTAAAATTATATGGGTAACCACTTTTGTTTTAAGTAAGATAAGTTAAAACACTTACCTGAGTTTCATACAAGTGGGCAATATGAAATTGAACTGCAAAGATAATGGAAAATAGAAATCAATACACAAGTGCTTGGGATAAATTAAGTAAGAATATAAAATGTAAAACGTAAGCACGGTCTACACTATACAGACTTAATAATGGAGCATAACTTTTATTTTTAATAAAATAGAATATAAAAACAAATACATACAACCATAACAAACCACATGTATTCACTGTTGGTCATTTATCAAATTTTGTCAATGTAATTACTAAAATACTGAAATCTACAGCAAGTGAGTATTACTTCTTTTTTTAATTTTTTTTCAATTACAGTTTATATTCAGTATAATTTTGTATTGGTTTCAGTGAGTATACTTCTTACAAAGTTCAAAATGGCCACATTAAACAAATAAACTTTTTATAATCGTATACATTTCAAAAAATGGTATTTAAAAACTGAGTTGTAGGTGAAAAATATAGTCACTATTCGTAAAAAACATATTAAAACAGAAAAAAGCCTGTAGTATTTTTCTTATACCATATTTCATATCAGCAACACTTATAAAGAAGTCATAGACCCAGGCTCACACTGGTAATAACACAGAGAATGAAAGTAGTTGTTGGATTTCTCTATCGGTTCTTCAGAATTTTTTTTAAAGTCAAACCACTTGGAAGGCAAGAGTCACAAGATTAACAAGTATGTCTTGAAAATCAAATAAAAGTTATATGTCATCTTTTATTTTCAGCTCTTCCTGATAGTGCATCACCAGAGTATGAACGATCCAATGAAAGCAACAATGAATCAGGAATCAAAACTAGATTCTAGCTACTTTTATACTCATTTTCATTATTTAAAGACAGTGGTCTGTCTATCTGAATTTCATAGCTGGACTTCAAGGAGTCTGCGAGCCTTTCAAAATTATATGCAGAATATGTATGTGGATCTTTACAAACAAGGTCCACAGCTATCATCAATTTCTTATTGGAGAGTGCACCATGAACTAACTGATTCCTGTAACTTTAAGATTCACCCGGAAGGCTTGTGAAAAATAGAGATTCCCAAGATTATAATTCAGTGAGCCTGGGCAAGGCCTGGAAAGCTGCCTTTTTATTCAGTTCTGCAAGGGCTCCTGATCCCTATTCCCTTGACCACCTATGACTTGAAAACAGCTAATCTAAAAAACCACGAAGATCAAAACAAACAAAATAGATCATGAACTTTGAAAATAATACCACTTTGGGGCCAAAAGTAAAGAACTACACAACTCCATAAACAATAATTAAATAATAATATCACATGTTAACTAATCAGAGATGAGGCAAAATAAAAGATGAAAATCCGTTTTGTGTGAAAAGCATACAAAAATAATAAAGAAAAGTTCACATATGTAAATATCTTATTCCCCACTCCCCTTTTCCAATACAGCTCTCCTTGAGTTCCAGTCCACATCTCACCTGACTGCATCATTGGAGGGAGACTGGGTTGCAGGTTAAGGGAATGTGGAAGAAATGAAAAATCTATGCCCACTTCCCCCAATCTTCTTACTCCTCTAATAGAGGTAACAAGGAAGAAAAGATCAGCAGCCAGCTGGCACACATACTACCATCCAAAACTTCCACCAGGCTCACTCCTAGGCCTTATGTCAAGGGCTTCCCTCTCTATCCCATGAGTTACTAAATCCAGTGTTATTTTTTGTAGTGTGAAAACCACTATGTATTTAAATTCTTAAAAGCCTTCTTCAAAGTAGAGCATAAGCATAGACCTAAGAAAAAACTCCACTTGGCAAGTCTCAATAGCAATAGAAATTTTGAACAAATATTGCCATAAAAGTTTCTGAAATTAAACTTTATTCAGAGATTAATACATTAGTTTTAGAATTAACAACATTTTTAAAATCTCAAAGAAACAATTTTATCCCAAGGGGCAATCATATAATGAAAAGTCTCACATCATTACAATTCTACTTTTCAAAACACTAACTGTAGTTAACCTCTCAAATAGCTCTAGAAACAAGTGTATCTACTTATTTTTAATTGCACATATGAATTGTGCCATAAAATACAAATCTCTCATACAGACTTTTTAAAAAGCTCACTTTCCTATTATCTTCTGGTCTTTCAGTATCATGAGGTAACATGAAGAGTTCAAGGTATGTGGCATATACAATAGGTAAAGACATTAAAAATGCAGAGAAGTAAGTTTTACAAAGGCAAAGAGCCTGGTGTTGAAACAGTAATAACGTCTGGCTCAAGGTAGATAGCCTACATTGCTCTGTGAGACATCAGCCACTAATGCAGTTATCAAGTAATCATGAAGACTGTCTAAAATAATCTACCTAAATCAACTGAACTATAATGTCTCTAAATAAAGCACATGCCCTTCCATTAGAATGACCAACCTTTTAGCACTCAAAGCCCTGAATCCAAGGAAACTCCCTGAGCAAAAGAGGATGTTGGTCCCCTCCCACCTACTCCCCTTTTCAATAACCAACAGACAAAGAAGCACAGTAAACTCAAAGATGTATTCATGATGGTTCGAACTGTCCTCTGCAAATTTGACAGGAAAGTTTTCTGTCCTGTGATATTCACTCTACATAGGTGTCCTCCACTCAGGAACAATGATCTATAAGTGAGATTTTACCTCAACAGAGAAATGAGGATTTACCAAAATATTTAGTTTCACATTTATGAGAAAGGCCTCAAAAGTTATTTAAACTGACATATAGTTATGAAACTTGGCTTTAACACGTTAAGTGCCCAGCCTGTTTTGTCTTCCGGACGGAAAGTATAGTGTCAGTCACCGATGACTGACATGGGGTTTAATGTGTTAAGACACTATATATAAAAAATTAAATGAAAGTTAGCTGTTTTCTTATTTCCATAAATTAGATGATCTATATAACCTGGGTATATATTTATGGAAAAAGTATAAATTAACACCTTATAAATTAATATACCTATGAGTTCAAATTCTTTTTCTAATCTAACCCCATCTTAGAAACTAAAATATTCCTGTGACTGTTACCTGCCCATAAATTATTCTGCAAATACACTGATCAGTACAAAATCCTGAGTTTCATTTAAAGAAATGAGAAATGTTTTCTCAAAAAATTGCCTCTCAGAGCAGTATGAGATAATTGGTCTAGTTTAGACTTACTCCTTCTTAAGCATTTTTAACACTGATACTATTTTTTACTTAACACCTTTCTATATAGTTAAAAAAACAGTCACTTATAGCAAAATACAGACTGAACTTTCCAAAATCTAGAGTCCTTTAATTGATCTTAAATTTTCATTAAGAATGATTGATTTTTTACATATTCTAATTAAAATTTTATATTTCAAGTAAGAAATTTTAAAGAAAGCCAGCTTGGACCCAAATGAATATTCTTAAAACTTTTATTGGCTACTTTACAGTACACTAAATAAACATGACAATATATACTTATTGATAAACACTTCATAATCAACCCAATCTGCTTTTGGAAGGAAACCTACACAGAAGCAGAAAATAACCGAAGAAAACCACTATATCAGAACATGCTTCACACATATATTTTTTGAATTAACTGAAAAAAATGTCACCTCCAACTTTAAATATGATGTGAAAAAATATAATAAAAAGTCCAAGTATAGCTTCATAATTACCAGTAATTTGGGAATCACTGAGCTACCACATGTGAATCATTGTATACTCATTTTTCTTAAAAAAACTAGCAAACCCTGTTATTAATCCCCCATATTACCTACAATATAATTAATACATAAATAACCAATCTTGCTTATTGGTGCAGGTAATTTTCATTCAACCCCTCAGTTTACTGGTATATCTATTTTAGACACAGGCTGTTCACAATAACTGGTCTGACATGTTCCATCTGTACAAGTAGCCATGGCAACCAATACAGTTAGCTTCAACAATTCTAGAAGAAAAGAAATCGCACAGGATTTATCACTATCATCACTATTATTACTACCACTACTATTTGCCATGAAGTGATTTGAATATATGTAGAAAACTATGACAATTAATACTTACTTTCAGCATTCGACAAAGTGCAGGGATTACAGTCAACCAAAGCTAACTGCAAATGCTGTAAGAAGAGAGTGAGAAAATTAATGCACTAAATTCAGTCACATAAATATGTCTTAAAATATTTTTCAGGTATGTAAGGTCTAACATAATAACAGAACTATACTATGCAAATAAACCACACTAGACAACCAACTAGAATTACTCTGAACATTTACTGATGGCAACAGACAGGTTGTGGAGAATGGAAAACCTGTGAAAGAATTAACTTTGTCAAATTACCCTATGCATATTTTTGTTTATATGAAAAAAGCTTTGGAATTTTTAGTCTTAAAATAAATAAAAAGTATCCTCTATAATAATAAAAGCATAATATGCTAATTAGACCGGATGGCTGGACGACCTTCTGGACAAAGCCGGAGTTGCAAGGGCCGAGGCAAGCTGCCACAGCTGTGAGGGCCAGGCCCCTTGCACAAATTTCGTGCATTGGGCCTCTAGTATATAACAAAATGGTAATATGCAAATTGACCCTAACGGTGGAACAACCAGGAACAACCGGTCACTATGACATGCACTGACCACTAGGGGCCAGATGCTCCCAGGCTGCCAGAGGGAATGTCTGACTGCCAGCTTAGGCCCAATCCCCCCAGGGAGTGGGCCTAAGCCATCAGTCAGACATCCCCTGGGGGGTCCTGGACTGTGAGAGGGTGCAGGCCAGGCTGAGGGACAACCCCCAACCCCAAGAGCACCAATTCATGCACCAGGGCTCTAGTTAGTTATAAAATAGTTTAATCAGAACACATCACTATTTTTAAAATTGAAAATAAAGGTCAACGGCATTAATGTTAGAACATCACTGCTTATCTCAAAATGAGATGTGAACATTTAGAAACAAAAAAATTACTATGAGAATTATCATAAAGGGTGAAACTATCTGCCCTTACTGATTCTTCAATAATCACTATACTTAGTGCCTTTGAAATACTACAAAGAATGCACAGGCTATAAATAGCCTGTGTTCAAGTTCATTTATGACATATAATTACCCTTTTAGAATGTGCTATCATATGTGTAATAGTTATAACATCCACTTATAATGTCATATAAGTGTGCCCAAAAAAATACATGTTAAATTCAATGTATAACACTAAGTTTTAAGAACACAAATCATAATAAAAAAACACTGGGTAACATCTAGTTTGTCAACATTAAGCCTAGTATGTAAACTAAGAGAACACAAACAAGTACTAGAATTGGTATGAAATCTTTAAGATAAAAAAATTAAAAATCTTTTAACCTCTAAAAGTATTTTCACAGATGTATATTCAAATTTTTAGCATTTAAAGAAATCAACAGCCAATATACAAATCACTTTTAAAAAATTGACCACAATGAGCTCATTCCTATCTACTGCTGGGCAAACTGAAATGCATAATGACAATTTCTAGATGTAAGTTCATCTTTCTTTATCAAGAGATTATTTAATCATCAGCAAGTTTTCAGTACTATTTTTCAACACAGAATCAACAAAATGGCACTTGGACAAGTAGATCCCTCAGTTAACAAAAATAAACAAATATTAGCTATGCAGTGTTACAAGGAAAGAAAGATTAGAAGGCATCACTTGGTATGAACATAGTAATCATATTAATTCACGAATGTATGTTATGTGCATGCATAATTAGGCTAACCTATATTTACAGTACTCTTACTATTTAAGGGTTGTAATATTTTGAATGGGCAAACTACAAACAAAATGACTATGACCCTTAAATATTTAATTATGTAATCAATAAATATTTATCAAGACCTATAATGCCCTTAGAACAATGCAGAAACTAGGGATACAATGATGAACAAAACAAAAGTAAAAAATTATTTGCCATGGTTGACAGAATGAGAAAAAAAAAACATCCAACACCTGAACACCCTGAGAACTGCTTTTATTTTCCTTTGGCCTACTAAGCAGACTGTATGTCCTCAAACATCCCTTGAGTGCTACCATGGCAATATAAAACAGACTTTTAAAAAGTGAGTACTATGAAAGCAGCGCATGCTTTATAGCCAACTGCTCTCCTCTAGACGAAAAGAGCAGCACAGCAGCCACACTTTCAGACTCTACTGCATTTCTAAATCTAATCTATCCTGCCAGCACAAATTAATATTTAGATAACACAGACCTCTCCTAACTGAGCCATCAAAGTACATAAACAGACCTGCAAAGAAACAGCCTTCAAGATAGCAGTATTTTAGTTTTATTATTACACTGAAATCCCACAAAGAGCAGAGAGATGCATAATTCAAATGCCCAGCCTACATTTCATCTATCAATGCTCAATGAAACCAGGCAGAAATGGTTCTTGGCCATGTTTTATATAATCCTTAATCAACCTTAAAAGCAGCAATGAAGTCACTGAAGCACTATCTGAAACCCACAATTATCATGAAACACTAAACATTTCCAAACAGCAACAATATAGAAAAATTACCGGGCAAGAGTACATATTCAAAAACATGCATGTGAGAATGAAAAAAATTAAAGAATTACAAAGTTGAAGAAACTAAGCAGCCACACAAAACCACATAAAGAAAAACACTGATACACCTTTCAGTAAACTAAAGGGAGATGAACTGGGGATGACATGACCTCACAGTTTCACTTCTGGTATCTAAACCAGATGCAAAATAGATATACCTATTAAGATATAAATCAGCAAAAATGACTACCAATTCTCAAGCCTAAAAATGTCATGGTAAAATATCCAGCACCCAACAGCAGCAGCTAGAAAGTACAAGATGGAGCAAAAGTAGAAATACAGTTGTGAGTGCGCGAAAGTTTATTCTTGTATTTATTAAGTATTATATTATTTCCCACAGAACGAACTGTAAACCTACTTTTGCCATACCTGTACATGCATCTCATACCGAAATATTGCAGTACTGAAACTGATTACTGCTGTGTGAAAGTTATCATGCAGTAGAGGCTTTTGCATTTCAGACTATATACAAACCTTAAGGCAGAGAGCATTCTACAGAAAATTAATTTCCAAGCCAAGAAGATTTACCTGAGACTTTTTTAAATGCTGCAGTTATTTTCTTTTTATAGAGCACTTCTGGTCCAATTTAACACAAGGTTCGATTCATTACAATTTCTGTTGACATCTTTATTACCAAAGTCACCTTTTGTTTTAAAAGCTTTTGACTTGCGCAATATTTCATAATAACTTTATAGTATTTTGTTTTATATAAACTGAGGAAGTTGATTTCTATCTGGAGGAAGGATACCTATATTCATGTAATTAACACATAAAACTAGAGTTTCAAGACTTCATTTTCCTTTAAATTATTTTACTTCTAGCTGTATAGTCTGTGATTATCTCATGAATCTTTTCAATTGTAGAACCCTTCAACTGTATTCCCAATCCTACAGACAAGCAATGAGATAGCTTTTTGTAACTGACAAAGTATGTATCAACATATAAACAATTAATTTGGAGCACTGTTTGGATTCCAGATCTAATCTTGGATGTTCTGATTCAGTGGGTTGAGGGTGACACCCTGTGAACCACATAAAAGCTTCTAACAAATTATTCCAATGCCCAGTCAGGGTTAAATGCCACTATCTTACAGTTTTTAAGTCATGTGCTTGGCCCCAAAAACCTTACTTTAGAGTACCTAGCAAGGTGTGTATACGTGATAACACTGTCTCTACTCATTCAATTATGGCAGACACAGCCTTTTGGGAATAAAAGGTTGGCAACCAGCTTTTACTCTATAAGACAGGCACTCTGCTACGGCTATGCATATGTAACTAAACACAAGGCGCACTGAAACTAGTATTGTAACAGAAGTTTAACAGACAATTCCATAATGGAATCCAAAAGATACAGATGAGAGAAGAAAGAGGTACTTCTGGCTTAGGAAACAATTTGTTTTTATTCCACTCCAACAAAACAAGTTTTTGTGGACCATTTAAGTAAGAGAAGGGAAGGTGTGTCAGGCACTCTTTCAAGTCAAAGGCAAATTATTTTCCTTAATCACTGTTACAGATCACCACAGTTCTAAAATATTAAAGGTGGTAATCATACTGAAATATATAAATGCACCAAATCAACACATTAATCTTATATAATGTTATGTGTCAATTTTACGTTAATAAGAAATTTTTAAAAGACTAGAAGTTTCAAAATACCAGCTGGATATGTTAAGCTATCATGAAGAAATAGGACAGAAGCAGATATCTATCCTATATAATAAAAGAGAAACATGGTAATTAGCGTACGACCGCTACCTTTCCCATTAGCTAATCATGGCAATATGCAAATTAACTGCCAGCCAAGATGGCGGCTGGCAGCCAGGCAGCTTGAAACTAACATGAGGCTTGCTTGCTTCAGTGACGGAGGAAACCAACGCTCCCCACCTGCCTTGCCGGCCTCTGAGCCTGCAGTTTGAAACATTGTAACAAATATAGAACCTAAACAAAACCCCAGAAACCTGCTTTCAGCGAGCGGGGATCTCAGAGCTGGAGTTACACATTGTTTTGATTATAGACCCCAAACAAACCAGATACCTGCTTTCAGCAGCAGAGGCCTCAGAGCTGGAGCCAGAGCTAAAGCTGGCCCAGAATAAAAAGAAAAAGAAAAAAAGGAGCAGTTGGGAGCTTCAGCCCTCAGCCCCTCACCCAGACTGGCCAGGCACCCCAGTGGGGACCCCCACCCTGATCCAGGACACCCTTCAGGGCAAACCAGCCGGCCCCCACCCATGTACCAGGCCTCTATCCTATACAGTAAAAGGGTAATATGCCTCCCAGCACTGGGATCAGCGGAGCCAAGAGGCCTCCCGGCACCGGGATCAGCGTGACAGGGGGCAGCACCCAAACCCCCTGATCGCCCTGCGGCTCTGTGGGTGAAAGGCTGCGGCGCCCCAACCCCCTGATCGGCCCTGCTCTGTGGGTGACAGAGGGGAGGGGGAGGGGGGGTGCCCCAACTCCCCTATCGGCCCTACTCTGTGAGTGTCGGGGGAGCTCCTAAACCCCCTGATTGGCCCTGCTCTGTGTGTGAC